GAATGCGTCTTTGGGGCAGTTATTCATGTGCTTTCATGTACTTGGGCCACAGAGTGCAAAACAAATCCGAGTTGAGACAAGGAATTTAAGGGTGATGACTGTCTCCCTGTTAGCAGGAAGAGTATTCTCCCTCCCCCTTCCTTTTCTGTACTCCCAAACATTACTTCCAGACTTTAGTTCACTGTGTTTAACCTAGTAAACTGAGCATTTCTCCTAGCTGATTAATTTTGGAGAGAGTGGATTTGGCACTAGCATTGCTTTCTGCCCTGGCTCCCCGCTGCCCCGTCCTCTCTCCACATGGACACGTGGGGCCGAGGGAAGGATGTAACTGAGCTTTTCAGTGCTCTCGAGACTGACCTGAGGATCATGTGCTTCTAAATTATCCTGGAACTCAATCCATGCAGATTCTCTGCCCCCCCTCCCATCACCACCACCACTAAACCTAGTAAACAAAATTTCATGAGTGAGGCCTGAAAATCCACATTTTTAGCAAGCTTTCCAGATAACGCAGAGGTACGCTAAAGCTTGAGTACCAGTTTTACATGCTACTGCGAGAGCAGCGGGCTGACCTGCTCAGAAGCCTTAGGTGCCAGCTTTTTGCTCCATCATCTGAAGACACCTGAGGTCAGGGAAGTTCTGGGTTTTGCTGAGTATCTGGCACATGAAGGAGCTTCTCGATGTAGGCATCTTTTTTCCAATTCTAGGCATCTTTTTTAGCATGTTTCCACCACATCTGGGCCTCAGTTGAGTGCTGCGTAACAACTCTTCAGAAGTCTGGCTTGTATGTCCCCTCCTAAAGGGCCAGTCTTAAACCAGCTGACACAGGAGGTGCTTTGCAGTGACAAAGCTCTTTCACTTGCATTTTTCTCTAAGTCTTTTCTGTAGAGCGTGTGTGCTCGTCAGAGAGAGAAAGACAGAGAGAGGGAAAGTGAGAAATCGCCCCCTGGGAGGATGGCCATGCTTTCTGTAGAGCGTGTGTGCTCGTCAGAGAGAGAAAGACAGAGAGAGGGAAAGTGAGAAATCGCCCCCTGGGAGGATGGCCATGCTGCAGTCCCATCTGCTACACTCTCCTCCTGGGATTTTGGGCACACACACCCATGAACCTGGTGTGATTTCAGGCTGCCAAGTCTAGGATTCAAACCATGGTCACCCATGTGGGAGTCCAGCGTTTTAACCACTTCATCGCCTGTTTGTCCTGGCAGGTAAAGATTAAAATCTCCATCTTACAGAGTAAAAGATTGAGGCTCGGTGATGTTTGGTAACCCAGTCACTCCTGCTTTCTAACTCGAGACTCCCTATGTTTCCTCCATGCATGGGGCACCCTCATATGGGTGATATCTCAAATCCCAATGGTGACCAGGATTAATTGCTGAAGAAGCAGTCATGATTATTGGTAGGGAGCTTGAGAAGCATCATTAAAAACAGCCTTTTTGGGGGATGGCATGGTGGTTAAGGCACTGGACTCCCACATGGGCAGTCACAGCTTGAGTCCCAGGCTTGGCAGCTTGCTTTCTCTCTTTCTCTCTCTGTATTTCTCCCCAAGGAGAAAATACACAGAGAGGGTAGTGAGCAACACCAGAACATACTTAGAATTTGATTTACTCATGAAGAAATCTGATCATAAATTCCTATTTTTAAAGAGCTGTCTCTTGAATAACTGCTTTGCAACTCTTAAATCTGTATCCTTTACTATTCCTAACAAACTACAGGAATAGTCTTGTTAGAACAAAGCTGAGGGTACAACGGCATAAAAGTACTCCGTTTCTCATATTTCTCCAAGATATACATCTAATTTATCCACAGGCTTACTTTGAGCAGGCACTCCTGGTGATTAGTTAACTCAATGCAGCAGTATTGAACTACGAATGACTTATTCAGAGGAAATGATTATGGGAATGTCTGAATTCCACATTATTTGAACTCTTATTCTAGGCTCATTTTTCAATTTCTATCAAATACTATATAAACTTCCATTCTCTTTGGAGACAAAGAATGTATCTCAGTAATGTAATTTTAATATCCACACACCTGAGCAAGTTCTAAAGCTACTTGGAATTGTACTGTTATTGACTGACACTTACCAAACATTCAAAAATATATACTTACAGGATCTTGAAAAAGCTGTCCATGTACCAAATTGGACAGAACTTCTATAATCCTTCAGAGCCGGTGGAAATCCCTCAGTACAAGTAGGTTTATTTATATTTTCTGTTCCTCTGATATTATTATAATGCGAGCAGCATAATTTATGATGCAATATGATGACATTATGCTTTCTGTGAGAGACTTTGTGATATGAAATTAATGGACTTTTTTTCATTTTTGAGGGATTTTTTAGTAGTATGGTGATTGTGAACATGAAACTAACAGCCTGTTTTCTAATATTAGTGTGTTAGATCGTTATCATAAACCCTAGAAGGAGTTCAGAAACTGAATGTTGTGTGTATAACAAAAAATAATGAAAGCGGCATGCAGTGGACTATGTTACGACACATAGGTGGTGATCTGTTTTCTTGTTTAAAGGAAGGTAGCCCAGCCAGGGTGATTGACATGACACCACTGTGTAACAGACTCAGAGGCTAGCCAGACGATCATGGTGAGGAATGGAACTGTTTGAACACTTGCAGAATTTTTGCCCCAATCTGGGAACGCAATGCTTCAGAGAAAGTGGCTCGCTATTATTTGGACTGATGGTTATGAAGCTCTCCAGAGAGGCAATGGATAGCCCCCAAACGGATATATAAATAAAGGGAGAAGTGTATTAAAGATAAAAAACGGAAGTGGGGTATTTGACCTTCTGCCACATGGAGAGAGAATAGAGGAGTTTCTATATGTTCATTCACTGTGTCAGTGGTCTCTGTATAACATCTTATTCATCCCTGTCACCTCTCTCTCCCCTGAATGAGAAACTCTTGTAGGACCAGTGTTGTGCTAAGCTGCAGTAGCTGCTCAGTGCAAATGCTTGTTCTGAAGCCTCGCCTAGAATCTCAGTGGATTAAGTACACAAAATATAAATTGGAATAATAAGTATGTGTCTATTCTTTTGTGCAGTTTCTGGAACTTTTTATTGGAGACTTGCAGTGGATGGGGGAAGGGGCTGTAGCTTGTGCTCCAATTTCTCTTACATATCCACACATGTTTTCAATTCTGTATTTCTTATCTTGTTATCAAATCTTTCACCTTTGAGTCGGTATGCTTTTCTGAACCTACAGGTTTTCATCTAGGACAAATTACTCAATAAACATATTATTTCTGTAGCTGTGGCTCTCAGCCAGCAGTATCCCCCCCACCCCAAGTGAACAGTTTCATTATCTGGAGACATTTTTGGTTGTCATGGTGGGAGGTGAAGGGTGAGAGCTGGAAGGATTCTCCCACTGGTGCCTAGCAGGTAGACACCAGGGATGGTGCTAAACATCTTATAATGCACAGAACGGCCTCTGACAAAGGACTCTCCAGTCTGAAGTGTCAGGAATGTCAAGGCTGAAAAACTGCTTTAAGAATATATTTTATCTTTACAAATGTGTGTTTAAAGACACTCCAGCTGAAAATACCAAAGTTTTTAGGCAGCAGTTAGAAGAATTTAAGACTGAAAAAAAAAATAAGATTTAGAGCATTATAAGCGAGCTGATGGTGTGGCAGTTAAGGTGGCTAGATCCTACATAGACTGCACAGTTCAAATCCCAGAACCAGAAGCTTGAAAAAAATACTAGGTGCATGTGCATCCGTGCCCAAAATCCCAAGGGGAAAATGGAGGAGAAGGGATTGTGGCATAGTCGTTCCCTCTGGGGGAGGTGATTTCTTACTTTCTCTCTTTCTCTCTTTCTCTGTGGCACGCTCATGCACCCTATAGCAAATTAAAAAAAAAAAAAAAGATTTAGGGAATTAGAATAAAAAATGACTATTAAAAATGTTTATTGTTTTTCTGGTATGTATTTAAAATATATTTATGTTTATTTTCCTTTTTTTTTTTTTGTTCCCTCTGGGGGAGGTGATTTCTTACTTTCTCTCTTTCTCTCTTTCTCTGTGGCACGCTCATGCACCCTATAGCAAATTAAAAAAAAAAAAAAAGATTTAGGGAATTAGAATAAAAAATGACTATTAAAAATGTTTATTGTTTTTCTGGTATGTATTTAAAATATATTTATGTTTATTTTCCTTTTTTTTTTTTTTTTTGTTTATTGTTTTTCTGGTATGTATGTAAAGTATTTATGTTTATTTTCCTTTTTTTTTTTTTTTTTTTAGATTATCCCTTTGCAAGGGGTTTGCCATTTCTGTATCATGGTTTGAAAGTAAGCTCCTGCTCAGTGCCGACGTGAGTTACAAAGTCCTCCGGAATGAGACTGTCCTGGAATTCATGACTGCTCTCTGCCACAAAACTGGCAGGTCCTGTTTCACCCAGATGTGTGAGAACCAGCTGATAGGGCTCATTGTCCTCACAAGGTAAAAGCCTGCATCCAGCTACACTTTCTGGAGAGAATGAATTATTTATGGTATTTGGGAGCAGCAATTGCTTGGGGATGTTGTCTCAAGCACAGATCCGATCAGTTTGCTCCCCTATTCACGAGACCTGGCTGTGCTCAGCTGTCTGGAGAGCAGGCTTCTCCACTCAGCATTCTGGACTGTACCCAAGCTGCTGTGGTCCTGAATTACCTCCTTCTGTGTGCACCCTCCACTCCCATTCTGACTGCACTTCACTGCTTCAGTGCATCCGCCTGCATTCCTCAGCCCAGACTTAGCCCTTTTAAGTTTCAACCTCTGCGAAACTGGGCTCTAATGTTACTGCTTTCCTGGTGTCTCCACTTACCCACTTGGTTGGAATTAATCAGTCCTCTCCCATTGGGTCCCAGAGCACTTTACTTAGAACCTTAGAACCCTTCCCAGCTCTCTCTGTGGCCATTTTATTTCATTTTGTTATGGTACAGAATGTTCAGTTCATGCCTCACCTTCTCTATAGGACTCTGAGGGTTTTCAAGCTGAGACCAGGCCTTTTCTCTTTGTAAACTTCTTGGCTTGTCAATATACAATTTGCATCCTGTGCACATTGAACTGAAGTAAGCACGGGTAGACTAGATGGCTTGCTAAATATGGAAAGCTCACCGTGTGCTGCTGCTGGTCCAAGATTTCTTTTAGAGAACCAACTGGCCTTCTCTTCTTATCTGGCTTGGAATTCCCACTGACAGTTGTCTTCTGGGTCAGATAGCAGCAGAGAGGTGGGAAGGGAATTTCCACATTGCTGGGATGAGAAGGCAGCCTGTGTGTCTTCTGTCATGAGGACACACAGTCACCAAGGACTCTGGAGGAAACTGCATGAAGGTCTCTGTCCCCAGACTGGAGCCACCTCAGAGGACACTCCAGGCTGCACAGTGCTGAAGAGGAGATGGAGTGTAGAATGACCTTAGCCATTTTGTATTTTTGCCAAGGCCAGCCCTAGACAGGAAGCTAAGCAGGATGCCCGAATTGCATGGCCAATCAGCTGCTTTCTGGTGCTTTTATTAGAAGGATACCCAGGAACACAGAAGCTCCAAGTGACACCAGAAGCTGATGGGAGGGTTTTCAACAATGTTTTGGCCTCTGAACATTTAAGAATGAATCACCTGGGGCCAGCAGATGGTGTGGTGGTCAAGGCTCTAGATTCCCACACAGAGACCATGGTGCGAGTCCTGGAGGCTTGAAACTTCCGCTGGTCATGTGTGTGTACATGCCCCAAATCCTGAGAGGAGAATGAAAGAAAAGGAATTGTGGTGTGGCCCTTCCCTCTGGAGGGTGATTTCTCACTTTTCCTCTCAGTCTCTGTTTGGTGAGTGCATGAGCCCTATGGCAAAAGCTTAAAAAGAAAGAAATCGCCTAATGTTAGAGTGTCTACCAGTGAGAAAAACAGACTGTAGTCTAGGTCTAGTGACTTCCCCAAGTTTTACTGGGATATGGACAGAGTTGTCATATACTGGAAAATTCATTAATGCTCTTCTCAGATAAGAGCTGATCATTTTTTTAGAAAGCGAATATTCTTGTATTACCATCATTCACAATATTTGACATCCCAGACTCTGTCTTATACTTTGAATGAAAATTGTGGGGAAGTAGCCATTTATGATTGAGAAAACTTTTAGAAAAATATTTCTCACATTTTTATCAGATACAATAATAAAACCTATCGCATCAATGACATTGACTGGTCGGTGAAGCCCACGCATGCCTTTCGGAAGCGGGATGGCACCGAGGTCACCTATGTGGATTACTACAAGCAGGTAGGACTTTCTTTTCTTCATCCTCGCCTCCTTCCTCTTAGCTCAGAGGACTCCCTATGCTTTCCAAGCCCAGCAGGTCACCTGAGGTCACAGTGTGCATGCTCCCTACCTGATTATCTACCTGGTCCCTCCTCCTCCATCCCCACAGCATTCATCTCCTGTTGACCCTCACCCTGTCTCCTCCTTCTGGCAGCCTGAGCAACCTCCCTTAAAAGCTTCATGTCACTGGGACTAGCAGTTAGCATAATGACTATGTCACTGGACTCCCACGTGGTTGACCGTGGTTCACGTCCCGGACCCAGTGGCTTAAAACTCACGCTGGGCGCGTGTGCGTGCGTGCCCAAGATCCCAAGAGGAGAATGGAGGAGAAGGGATTGCAGTGTGGCCATCCCCCCTGGGGGGTGATTTCCCGCTTTCTGTCTCTCTGTCTTTCTTTCCATTTTATTTTTTGAATTTTTTCATTCTTTTTTTTTTTTATCATTTTTGCCATACATAGGGCACACCGACTCACCAGAGAGAGACCAAGAAAGACAGTGAGAGGTGAAATGAGAAGCCATCGGCCACACCACAATCCCTTCTTCTCCATTCTCCTCGGGATTTTGGGGTCACTCTCTGTCTTTGAAGCCCCATCTCTTACCACTTCCTCCTTCCAGCCCTGTGCTCCACTGAGCTTACTTTTTTAGCTCCATGACTCATTTCTCTCCTGTACATTTTTAGACACATTGTTTCTTCATGGTTGTCCCTTCTCAGCCACACACTAGACAACCTTCCAGGTCAGCTCTGCCATCAGCTCTCAGCAGAGCCCCTAGTGCTCTTCCCAGGGCCCCCCTCTTGCACATGGCCGCATCATGTCCTCACAGACATGACAGGAAAGGTCTGACCCGTCCTAGGCCTCAGGCTCCTGGGGGCTCCCCTTGAGCACTTTAGTTCTGGATATGCAGGCCTAGCACAGGTCTCTGCACATACAGAGACTCGGGAAGCATTTACTGATGGAACGGCCTTCCTCTGAAATCTCTATTCACCTTTATCCCCACACCCCTGCCCTTCACCTTCCATGATCAGTTTCTTCTGGAAGTACCTTTTCGTTAAGGTGCCATCCTGCCCAGGTCTCCAGCCTCTTAGCTATGCTTTCTAAACAAAAAGCAAACAAAACCAAAAACCTTTCAGGAAAAGCTCTCTTTTCCTCTTGGCTAACTTCAGAAAGCCACCTGTACTAGCTCCGAGCACCCCTCCCGTTCTTCCTTCCTGAGACCTCTGCAGTTTGGCATCCGGTTCTGCTACTGTAGAAAAAGTTCTCCAGTGGCCTCGGGGGTTAATGTCCTTATCCTAAAGGGTTTTCAGTGGCATCTAATGCCTGTGTCCTTTCCCACGGCCTGAACTGCCCTCTTCCTTCCTGACTCCTGGGATGCAGCCCTGTGGGTCTCTGCTGGGTTTCTGGCAGTTCTAGTTTAGCCTCCTTTCAAGCCTTCCTTCTTCTTTCCCTCCAAAAGCAACCATTATTTGCCATGGTTCCCTCATAGAGCATCTTTTTTTTTTATATTTTGAAACCACTCAAATCTAGCATTTTTGCCTTGCCCTCATTCCCAAATGACACATTCATCTTCATTTTTTGGAACATATTTGTATGAATAGCCTGCAGGCATTTCAGACTAACATAACTCAAACTGATTCATCGTCTTCCCCATTCCTGTTTCTCCCTAGGAATTCTGCATCTGGATTGGGAAATCATTTTGCTTCCTTCCTTCCCACCCTCACCTCCTCCTCTGGGTGTTGCCAAGGTGATTTCTGCTCCCTTCGCCTTAGAGTCTTCCCCATGCCATCCTCCCCAGCCCTGTTCCCACTGGGTTAATGCAGAGCCCCTCTTCAGTTCCCCTCTGCAGCAGGTGTCACAGGCACCTTCGATGGTCTCCTTCCCCAGCTCGCTCCTCACTGCGATTCACTGTCCACACTGCCACTAGAGAGAGCTTGCTGAAGTCCTGCCCAGAAAAGTGGTTAAGAGCATAAGCTCTGGGGGCCAGCAAGTGGCATGGAAGTTATAATGGCTGCATTCCATGTGGCCCACTGAGTGGTTTAAGGCCTGAACTCAGTGACTTGAAAAATAACACTGGGCACTTGTGCATGCATGCCCAAAATTCTGAGAGGAGAGAGGAGGAGAAGGGATTGCAGCATGACCATCCTCTCATCCCCCAGGGTGATTCTCACCTTCTCTGTTATCTCTCTCTCTTTGGTGAGCACACGGGCGTTAGGGCAAAACTAAGAAAGAAAAAAATAAGGGGCCGGCAGATGGCATGGTGGTTATGGGCAGTGGATTCCCACATGGCCGACTGTTGTTCAATTCTTGGACCTGGCGGCTTGCATTCTCACTTTCACTCTTTCTCTCTCACTCTGTCCCTCTCAGGCCAAATTAAAATAAACAAGTAAGTAAAGTTAAATACAATAATTCTTTAAAAAAATAAATAAAAATTTGGAAAATAATAAAAGATAAAGAAAATGAGTTCTGGAATAAGATGGGTCTAGCTGTAGCTGCATAGCCTTGGGCCAGTCACTGAACTGGAGTGTCACCTATGAAAGGGGATTTGTCTGACTGCCTGTGCAGGATTGTCTAAGCCTTGAGCTAGGTAACAGCACAATCAGAGCACTTAGCCTGGTGCTGCACATCACGAGCCCTGGGTAAACAGGGAGACCCTGTGGGACCCTGCCCTCTTCTCCTATCCTCCCCTTCTTCGTGTCTAGCATTGCACAGTTTGGCCCCGCCTCACCGTTTAGCTTTATCTTTCTTGGCATCCCCACCGTTGCCACCCTTGTGCACTCACTAGTCACTCCGTGTTCCTCAGCCTTTCTGCATATTCACTGGACATCTGCATAAAGCCACCTCATGCATTCCTTTCTCCTTCAACACTAGGTCACAGCCTCGCTGCAAGGTCAAGTGTCGCCTCGTTTTTGACATCCTCGTCCTCACTGACCTTGCTTTTTGTCAGGCATGCAGGAGCGCTAGCTGTTCTCTCTCCTCTGTGCATGCATCACAGTGCTTCTAGAACACGTCTTCCTTGGTGAACAGGGATGGCAATTGGCTCATCTGGCAAAGACTCTTATGCAGAAAATGTGCGCTGTGCCTCAGTTTGTTAAACATGCTGGCTTCTTTTCTGAATGTGTAAATTTGTTCTTATTTGAACAGATATGCTGGAGAACCTGTGATATTCTGAGAAGGAAATCATGGCAAAAGTCCCACTCACATCATTGTAATGAACTGTGGCACACTTCATAGATACTGTAATTAAGAGGGAAAAGAAGCAATATCGTGTCAGCTTGAGAATGTCCTCCTCTCGGTCCCAGGAAGGGAAGACTAAATTATTGTGTAGTCCGTTTTCAAAGTGGAAGACATTCTGACATTGACCTTTATATTTCCCTATTTTATCTTGTCATGACAAATATTAAATGCTAATAAAACTGGGGAAACAGAAATGGTAAAATTCACCTTATGGGGACCAGCAGGTGGCATGGTGGTTATGATGCTGAACTCGCACATGGCCAACTATGGTTTGAGTCCCAGATCTGACAGCTTGAAAGTCATTCCAGGTGCATGTGTGCATGTGTGCCCAGAATCCTAGAAGAATGGAGGAGAAGAGACGGTGCCATGGCCATCCCCCCCAGGGGTGATTTCTCACTTTCTCTCTCTCTGTCTCACACACGCACCATACATATATAAAGGCAAAAAAACTTTAAAAATCACCTTATAGCAGCAGCTTAGGGGGCAGAATTGGTTAGTTAAGCATGGTGCTCTGCCTTGGTCATCCACAGTGGTGGTCTCTTTGAGTCAGTTCCAATGGATTCATTGAAGTATATATAGAATCAGCTAGGGACTGTGCTGAGTCTGGATGAAACCCGGGGAGAATAGGAAAGTGATTTTTAATTGAAAACAGTATTGCATTGTAAAAGATAATATTTAAAATAATTAAAATTGGCCCTCGGATATAAAAGGTGGGTCCTGGGAGAAAGAAGGAGGTAACCATGGGGTTTTTCTTTCTTCACTGGAAAGATATGCTCATACAGTGTATTTTTTTTTTTTTTTTTTTTTTGGGGGTTTTTTTTTTTTTTTTTTTTTTTTTTTTTTTTTTTTTCCGCTACAGGGCGTGTGCGCTCGCCAAACAGACAGAGAGAGACATAGAGACAGAAAGCAAGAAATCACCTCCCAGGGGGGATGGTCATGCCACAATCCCTTCTCCTCCATTCTCCTCTCGGGATCTTGGGCACACATGCACACGCACCCGGCATGAGTTTTAAGCCACCGGGTCCGGGATGTGAACCGCGGTCGACTACATGGGAGTCCAGCAACATAGCCATTACACTAACTGCTGGTTCCCCATACAGTGTATTTTTAAGAGGATTACCTGGTTGCTTATAAGCAAGGGTGCTCATCTTGCAAAGTTTCCTTATTAACTTTTCCCTTATTAATCTTGCATTTTATAGCAATATGATATTACCTTATCTGACCTAAATCAGCCAGTGCTTGTGAGTCTGTTGAAAAGCAAGAGAAATGACAACACGGAGGCTCGGATTGCCCACCTGCTACCTGAGCTCTGCTTCCTGACAGGTAATGTTTATATTTTATGACACTATGAGGCTCTCAGTTCTTACCAGTGGCAGAACCTTAAGTTAACTGAGTCCCTAAGCATTGATTTAATCCATGGAGGACAGGCCCTTTAAGTAACTTATGCGATAGTAAAGACAAGTGGGGGATAGAGTGCCCTGGGAGATCTGTCTCCTCTATCTCATGTATTCTTGTGGTTCCTTTTATATAAAACAATCCCTTACGGACCAGCAGTTGTGTAATGGCTATGTCGCTGGACTCCCATGTAGTCAACCACAGTTCGAGTCCCAGATCCGGTGGCTTAAACTCATGCCAGGTGCATGTGCATGTGTGCCCAAGATCCCAAGAGGAGAATGGAGGAGAAGGGATTTCAGCGTGGCCATCCCCCCTGGGGGGTGATTTCTTGCTTTCTGTCTCTCTGTCTCTCTCTGTCTTTCCGGCAAGTGCACGCACCCTATAGCAAAACAAACAAACAAAAACAATCCCTTACACAAAGAGTTTCCTTAAACCAAACTGCTCTTTTCCATATTTGAACTTCACATCTATAGGAAGCGATATGACTTTGATTTCCCTCCGGTATATCATTAGAGAGATCCCCAAATGATCGGTGTTTTCTTTTGCATGTGCTTCCAGTAGGGAACTCTCACTTTGTGATAGAATCTGACGAACTGTTTCAGGTACTTTTAATAGTGTCCATTTGATAGACAGGGTGAGATTAAAGAGGAGGGACTGGGACCAGCAGATGGCATAGTGGTTACGTCGCTGGACTCCCACATAGCCGACCGATAGCAGTTCAAGTCCTGGACCTGGTGGCTTGAAACACGACAGGCACGTGTGCATGAGTACCCAAAATCCTGGGAGGAGAATGGAGGAAAAGGGATGATGGCATGGCCATCCCCCCTGGAGGGTGATTTCTCACTTTCCCTCTCACTGTCTCTGTCTCTTTCTCTGGCAAGTGCATGCTCCATAAAGCAAAAAAAAAAGCCTCTTGAAAAATGAGGGGGTGGGAGTGCTTTCTATTTTGCACATTTGTTTTCTGTTTGAACCTGTTATGTGAATATATCTATTTTGTAGTTAGGGAGATTGATAAGGATATGATCCTTGAAGGGGTGTATTTATTCCTGCCGGTATTCTGATATTGTGCCTTTGCACAGCCCAATATGGTAACCACTGGCCACGTGAGTTTATTGAGCCTTTGACATGTGGCTGCGCAACTGAGAGATGAATGCATATCTGCTGTAGGTGTGAAAGAGCAACCTGAGGGGCCGGCAGGTGGCGGCCTGGTTAAGGCAGCTGGACTCCCACATGGCTGACTGCGGTTCGAGTCCTGGATCTGGCAGCTTGCTTTCTCACTTCTCTCTTGCTGTCTCTCTCTAGTCAACTTCAAAGATATATAAATATATATATATAATGACAATGAATAAAATTAAATAAAAAATAATTCTAAATAAAAACACAGACCAGATTTCAAAGGCTTATTATGAATAAAAAAGAAAACTAATTAATAATTAATGTATTTAAAAATATTGATTATATGTTGACATGATAAGATTTGAAATATAGAAGGTTAAATAATATTTTTAAAGATTTATTTATATTATTATTATTATTATTATCATCATTCAATTTGCTATAGGGCACATGCATTCACTAAAGACAGACAGAGAAAGAAGAAAGAGAGAGGGAAAATGAGAAAGCAAGCCACCAGGTCCAGGACTCAAACCGCTGTCTGTCCTGTGGGAGTCGAGCACCTCAACCACTATGCCACTTGCTAGTCCCAATATATAGTCTTTTAAATCATTTGATCTGGCATTTCTTCTTCAGCCAGGAAGGACGTTGGTGGGGTTTGTTTTGTTTTGGAGAGGTTTTCGCTATAGGGCGCGTGCGTTCACCAGACAGACAGAGAGACATAGAGACAGAAAGCGAGAAATCACCCCCCAGGGGGGATGGCCACGCCGCAATCCCTTCTCCTCCATTCTCCTCTCAGGATCTTGGGCACGCACACACACGCGCCCGGTGTGAGTTTTAAGCCACCGGGTCCGGGACGCGAACCACGGTCGACTACGTGGGAGTCCAGCGAAATAGCCATTACGCTAACTGCCGGTTCCCGGACGTTGGTGTTGAGACACAGTAACTGCCATGGCTTCCAGTGCTCTGGCGAAACCTCAGATGCGTGGTCTTCTGGCCCAATGTCTGCAATTTCATATTGTTGGATCATTCATTGTATCCCTGAGTGTGGTGCTATCTATAAGTTTGCTGTGGCTGAACCAAAAAGGAAGGCATATGCAGATTTCTACAGAAATTGTGATTCCATGAAAGATTTTTTTTTTTTTTTGACAGGTTTTTTC